GCCAATTTATCATTCTCTATCTAAAGAATATGTAAACGAAAGCCCGGCATGGAAGCTTTTTCCTACTTTCAATACGTTAACCGAACCTCGAATGATAGTGCTTATATACATGTGTACACGTGCTTCGGGCTTAGTTTCAATTGTCAACTTAAATTTGCTCATTAAATATATCTTAGTTAGATGAGGTTACACTGCATAATTAACTTATGAATATTGATGACATATTTTGAACATGACAAGGTGTGAGAACCAATCACTGATATGGAATGTATGTTATATCGAAATGTACCAATTTGATTACTTGGAATTGATAAATAAGCTATTTGAAGTTCTCGATTCTTGAATTCATAACCGATCGCGAATGTTTTCTGCACGCGAATAACAGTGCCTAACAACTACATATAATTTCATTATTATTACTGCTTTGTTGCTAGGCGATAATTCATGCGTACCTAATCCCTGTCTCAATGGAGCAACTTGCAGACCAGCTTCATGGAACCACGGTGCAAATGCAGCACCATACTACTGCGCATGCCCGTCCAATTTTTATGGCACCAACTGTGAACACCAAATGGGTACGTATATTGTTTTATGGTGTGAAATACATAATTTCGATTGGTTTGTGAATTGACCAGGGACATAATGACATGTATATTTGTGTCTTTATTGACTTCATTATTTACGTTCTTGTCATTTATATCATAGTAAGTGAATGTGCTTCTATGCCATGTCTTAATGGTGGATCATGTGAATCATTACCATGGGCTGATGATATGCCAGTTGATCGACGATATCGCTGTCACTGTGCCATGGGATTTACTGGACAACACTGTGAACAACCAAGTGGTAATAAGTCAGCTTTTCGTTCACCTATCTAAAGAATATGTAAACGAATGCACGACATGGAAGCTTTTTCCTACTTTCAATACGTTAACCGAACCTCGAATGATAGTGCTTTTTGTGTACACGTGCTTCGTTTCAATTGTCAACTTAAATTTGCTCATTAAATATATCTTAGTTAGATGAGATTACACTGCATAATTAACTTATGAATATTGATGACATATTTTGAACATGACAAGGTGTGAGAACCAATCACTGATATGGAATGTATGTTATATCAGAAAGAAAGATATCGACCTTTGATATTGAGCAGTGAGTTTGAACCTACGTAAGGCATTCTGTCTCACCGGATCTTCAAAATTTTGTATTTTCTAGTAATATATTGTAGTCATAATCTCTACAGTTGTTGTAGATGTCGGCTGGCATTAATTAAATAATTCCTCATGTTTTCTCTAATATTTTCAAACGAGTATAATTCTTCTCAATGTATTTCTAGGTGCTAATCCATGCGTACCCGATCCCTGTCTGAATGGAGCAAGTTGCAGACCAGCTCCAGGAAACTACGGTACAAATACAGGACCATACTACTGTGCGTGCCCATCGAATTTTTATGGCGCCAACTGTGAACACCAAATGGGTATGTAAATGCGATATATTGTTTAAAAACTGTAATGCCTTTAAACGTAAATATGCGTTATTAAAATGTTGTATTTGTTATCTTGATTACAAATGTAATCACCTGTTTGATTTATTTGTCTTAATACATAATTTAATATAAATTTAGCAATAATTGCCCAGAAACATGATGACATCATACATACTAAACTTTAATGACTTTATTATTTCATATTTCATTGTTCATTTATATCACAGTAAGTGAATGTGCTTCTATGCCATGTCTTAATGGTGGAACATGTGAATCATTACCATGGGCTGATGATATGCCAGTTGATCGACGATATCGCTGTCAATGCACAACCCATTTTACTGGACATTTGTGTGGAACGCCAGTAGGTAAGTAACGAAACGATGGTGTATATAGATTATATTTATCCCATCGGACCCCGGATTTCTCAGAACCGTTCCGTGTGTATGTGAATAAAACCAATACATATACATACATTCACATATCCATAATGCAGAATTATGTGGCAATAAACGCCAATACGGTATACTATATTGATACTTATTTTGATATGTTTACAATATGACATTAATTTAAAAACAAAACAAAGCTTTGCAAGGGGAACATGATTATATTGAGCCTTGCATCACATCATATAGCCATGATGTGATAGTATCCACTACAATTATTAAATATTAATAATTTATATATTTATTCAGATCAAATCACGTGTTCACACGCAGGAAAAGTGTACGGAGAAGGTGAAACCATGCCATCAGATGACAATTGCAATACGTGGTATGTTTTTTTATTATGCGTATCCTCAATATTAATACACACCAATATAATATTCACATATTTTCAATACGTTCAATTTTAATAATACAACATATTCATCTGTATGATAATGTGGATATACCTTATAAACTGTTATAAAATGTGATATCTTGCAGCACATGTCAACATGGTATGAGGGCATGCACCGAGATGTATTGTGGTAAGTCTTTTTTATATCTCAGTGCCTATGTTCAGGAAATCCTGTTTGTTAGATACGATCCGACATATACAACCTATTTATTTATTTTCAAACATGAAGTTAATATTATTATTTTCTGACACTATTTTAGGTTGTCCTAATGGACAAACACCTGTTAATTGTTTAGTCGATCCTTGTGTTGGCGTTCTATGCGGCGATGATCCTGATGCAGAATGCCGTGCAAATTATTGTGGTCGATGTAATGCAGAGTTTTATGATAAGAACGGAGACAAGATTGATTGCGAAGGTATTATTTTTAATTTATTTCCTATCAGTGGCCGTCACCCGTCGTAAATATTTCTTACTGTGATTTATAGTAGTACAAAAGCAAACTAATCTAATCTGAAACTGAAACGCCTACTAGTGATGTCATGAAATATCTAATACTGAATATTAATTTAGTGTAACGTTCGTGTTTCTATGTTCAGCCAAACGATCATGCAAGTATGAAGAACAGATATATCCACATGGTGCACCAATGGGATTCAGCTCACCAAATGATTGCAACACTTGGTATATTATTTAATTGTCTTCTGTCTTCTTTATGTAGATAACTTAAGCAGAAATGAAATATAAAATGAATTTGTTCTTACAGCTATTAGAATAGCTTGTCAATTTTGACACAGAGAATTGTTCTTCAGCTCTGTTCACGTTGATATAGTAATGCAATTTATATTACAGTAATCCTTTTAGTCTGTTTGTATAACGGATAGCTTCATTAACGTATTAAAGGGCGGTAGTCGTTGCACCACGCATGCGCGAGGTATATGGGTCTCATATAAACAAAGATGGCGACTTTGACTGTTGCTCAAATCAACGAGTACACTGAGACGTTACAATACTTTAATTAGGTATTTTAGGTGATTGGAAGGTGTCAAAGGAGTCACCAACAGTAATTAGTGCAAGTCGCGCCCAGGTCAAAAACCTCATACTGGATTTTGGATTTTGGATTTTGGGAAAATCAATCTTATCAACACAAATGTCGCACATGCGCGGCGCGACGACTGTCACCATTGAAGAACATCATATATACACATTCAAATGTTGTTTTTTCTAGTGTA